ATTTATAATTAATTAATTATAATTAAATAATTTTTACTTTTAATATCACTTTTGGATCAATATTTCTTACTTAATAAGTTGCTAGGAGATATTTACTCAAAATCATAGTTTTTAGTTTTTAAACTTATTACTTGGGTAATTAATGTATTAATATTGTTATAGAGGAGTGAATGTAATAATATTATGTGTATATTATTCTATCATTTTGTTTTACTCTGTCATTGTTCTCTTAAATTTGCTGGTCATTGAGCAAGTAAAGACGTGTTCTGTTCTTCTGGTTCTGTTCTTTTCCTGTTGTTAATTTCATCCAGCAGAAGGATTTCTACGTAGCTTCCAAGGATGGAAATTCACCCTGACCCTGGATGACCAGACCTGGCCAAAAGTCTTCTAGATAGATGGTGGAAAAGAAGGAAGGAAAACTATCCTTATTTGAGCTTATTTTCAGATGGGAACTGTCAGTTGCTAAGACTAATTCTAGACAATTTAGGATTCCACAATAATTTATTCAAACACTAGGATTTGTATTTGAATGGCTTATGGTGAAATTCAGAAAAAGAAGTTTTCAGCAACTGAGAATACAAAGAAAGGATTGTGCTTGTGCCTAAACTGGATACAAGTGTCTGAGCCCCATCTTCTCCATTCAGGAACAGTTTCAGAGGTCAGATGGAAGAATGGGCATATCTTTAGTAAGACATCTTCTCACATACACACTTACTCGGGGTGGCAAAATGGCTGCTTGCCAATCTTCCCTTCCTCCAACTGCTTAGTGCAGCATTGGTGAAAAGAATGGGACAGAGGGAGTGGAGAGAGCAATTTTGAAAAAAAGATCCAGTTTCTTCCGGCCTATGCAACTTCTCTGGTTATTCCCAATAAACTTTTGCCTCTCATCTGTTTTCACAATTTCCTCCCTACTATCTAGAATCCTTTTTGTCCAGAGACCACAGGATTGTGATCTGACATTTAAATTGTGTTTAGAATTGTGCATAAAGGCTCAGACAACTTTTGTGTGGGTAAGGTGTGACTGGAAAGCTATCATAATAGAACTTTGATAGTTTCAGTTCCTGACATCTCCAGTTCCGGTTTAGTGATGGAGAGGAAGGATTATATTTTCAGGAAAGACTGAAGTTTTTGTATCCCCTGGACATTTTTATAATTATGGTCTCTCGAGATAGATCTATAAATTGATTCTGTGCTTGCATTCTATCCAATGTATAGGTTCCATAATGTAATAATAGTTTATATAAAATAAATGGGGGGTGCTAAAACTTTACTTGAATTTGGAGGGGTCCCAGGCCCTCTGCCCATTGTGCCCAGTGGATTACCTAGCCCTGACTTCTTACAAGAATGGTAAGAAAGGGTCAGAGATGAGGCTACTGTGATTTTTCCATCTATATCTGACAGCAATGTGACTTGTTTTTATTGTACATCCCCTCCTTTCCTGCAGATTCTGCGATTCATCCATGACAGGGATTTGCAGGGATTCCATGAACAGCTTCTAGGAAACTACATAGCAAGCCGGGGGCTAGCCAGCCACCCCCTGCGCGATGAGCTTCTGAGCCAGGTGGCCACCCAGCTGTGGAAGAACTCAGATCTGGAACAATGCCAACAAGGCTGGGTATTGATGGCTACTCTCCTGAGTGCCTTCATGCCTTCACCTGCTCTGGAGAAGCCTCTGCTGAAGTAAGAAGCGGGGCTTCTTCCCCCTTGGGTTTTGGGCTGCATTGAAATAGTAGGAGTAGTCGCTGAAGTCTTTCACCTTGCTGGGATTTAGGTTTGTGTCAGATCATGGTCTGGAGGGCTACAATGGAATGTGCCAGCGCAAACTCTTGACATCCATGAAGCAGACAGAGAGCTACTCAGAGTTGTCCCGCAGTTTCCCCCCCACCCGCCTGGAGTGGACTGCAAACCAGAGGAAAGGCAAGATGGTGCTGGAGGTCTGCACTTATAAAGGTGATAGTTGCTTTCCTATTCAGCTTCATGTTTGTGGGAGTAGCGTTTTAATGACTGTAGGGTGGACTGTGGAACTGCTTGTGGAGTGCAGTAAAGCTCTCTGTTCCAAAGCTTTTCGTCTGACTGGAAAGACTGCTAGTGCAACAAACATCCATTATTTCCCTTTGAGTCTACATAGAGACAAGGGTTTCCTGCCCCACCGTGTGTGTTAATATCTAGCCCAATGCTAGCATGAGGGCTACAGTGGGCAAAGTCAGAAACCAAGGGGCAAAGAACAGACTGGGCCATTACAATAACAGAGCACAGGAGTCACCCACGTGTACCACCATGAAACAAGTGGCTCTCGGTCCTCTATGATATATAGGCAGGAGAAAGAGACATAAGATTTGAACCTCGGTCTGCTATATGTAGGTCTTGAGCCTTACAGTTAGTTGTAGCTGGTTTTCTGTGTTATGAAGAGTTTCTCTAGCATCTGCAATAAAAGCATCAGAGCTATATCCCAGAATCTGGCTGACTACTTGTTAGTTCAAGTATCAGCTGGAGTTGACAACTGCGTTGCTTCCACATTGCCTCTGTCTGGCAGCTGAGCTGCTTGGTTTCTGGTTCAGCCATTTTTTTTTCCTTCCTAGCATTTTCCCATAGGTGCAAGGTCCACTTTTTCAGATCAACCAAATGTTGATCCATTGGTTGCAACAGGAATTAACCAACCAGCTTGTCGGCCAAGCCTGACATCGTGGGTTGAGAGGGAGTGACTGGCCCAAAGTCACCCAGCCGGTTTTTCATGCCTAAGGCGGGACTAGAACTCACAGTTTCCCGGCTTCTAGCCTGGAGCCTTAACCACTAGGCTAAACCGGCTCTCTTTTTGGCTCTGCCATGCTGCATTCAAAATTACAGTTAATCCAGTTTTCCATTAGCAGCATTAGTGCTATGTGGAGCTTGGGAGTGGACTATTTTCCCATTGGCTGGTGTGGGTCTTCCGGGCTGTGTGGCCGTGTTCTTGAAGTTTTGTTTCCTAAC